ATAGTCCCAGGATTTACACTAACTTTCTCTTGTTCGTTGTTTTCTTGTGGGTAATATGAGGGAGTTGGACCAACAGTTCTAGAATCCTCACTAACTCTAAGATAAGTCTGTGATAATAAGTCTGAGCAGACATGAAGAGTGTCCATAAAAAGTTAAATACAGGGAAAACTTAAATATGGGGAAAGAAATATGAATATAGGCTGCCCATGGTGGTGTGGGGATTGGCTGGAGTAGAAGTTGCCTACTGATGTGGTTTATAAATCATTAAAATTCATTGACTTTATATATTTAAGATGTGCATTTCATTCAAACACACAGCAAAGAAGAGTTAAGTCACATATTTTTTTTTTTTTAAAGTACCTCAAATCAGTGTAGAGATTCCATATAACACACTCTGCAAATTTGGTCCAAAGGTTTTAGAGAGGTGCTATATCAGGAAGGTGGAGGATGAGAATGTGATAAATAGATTTAAGGTAGGCCAATAATAGACCCTGCCTTTTTGTATATGATAAAATATTATTTTGCTTCCCTTAATTATTTTCGTTTCATTTATCTTAAGATTTTTTTCAAAGACTTTTCAGACATGAAAGTCCTTTTTTTTTTTTTTTAAGATTTTATTTGTTTATTTGACAGAGAGAGACACAGAGAGAGAGGGAACACAAGCAGGGGGAGTGGGAGAGGGCGAAGCAGGCCTCCCGCGGAGCAGGGAGCCCAATGCGGGGCTCGATCCCAGGACCCTGGGATCATGACCTGAGCCAAAGGCAGATGCTTAATGACTGAGCCACCGAGGAGCCCCTACCTTAAGATTTTTTTAAAATTATTTTTAACTAATCTCTATATCCGTCATAGGCCTCAAACTCACAACCCTGAGATCAAGAGTCGAATGCTCCACTGACTGAGCCAGTCTGGTGCCCCAACCATTTCTTTTATTTATTTATTTATTTATTTAATTTTTTAAAAAAAACATGGTTTGCATCCTTTTTATTTTTTTATTTTTTAAAGATTTTATTTATTTGACAGAGAGAGACACAGAGAGAGAGGGAACACAAGCAGGGGGAGTGAGCAGGGAGCCCGATGCGGGGCTCAATCCCAGGACCCTGGGATCATGACCTGAGCTGAAGGCAGACACTTAACGACTGAGCCACCCAGGCGCCCCCCATTTTTATTTCTTAAGATAGTTTTGAAACTACTGGATTTTTTTCTTTTTCTATGTCTTTTTTAAGTTGCATCACATTTTTCTTTATTCTTTCTTTAAAAATTTCCCTCCTTAGGTTTTGTTTTTGTTTTTGTTTTTAACCTGGCAGTTACTGTGTGAGGCTTATAGTTCCTGGCACATAGTTAGCACCCCATAAATATTAGTTACACAGAACTGTTGAGTTTATATTACTATATATTTGTGCTTTAGTATCCTATGTGATTTTGTGTTTAACCAATTAAACCTTCACCTACATTTTTCATACTTTTTCTATAGAGATGATGGGATAGTATACTTTGGACTATTCCTTTTAAAATTTTCCTTTGTTTTTATTTAAAATTTTTATCAAAAAAATTTTTTTTATCTTTGGTTAAGATTTTAAACTATTATTTCACTGTCTCCTTTCACCTAACTTAACCCATACATGTAAATAGCAAATTGAGTGACATTGATTGCAATTTTTGTTGTTGCTATGTCCAGTCTAAAAGTTAAAAACGTGGCTGGTGGTACATGATCTGCTGTTAGATGACACGGATTAAAAGATAGTATGATTAAAAATGCCTTGTACTGAAATGTCTTGCATTTAAGCAATATGGGAAGATTGAAGGAGAAGGAATGCATGAAAGAAGTTGGAATAATGCTTAGCTTAGAAGATGAAGTATTAAGCATGGAAAGAAGCATAAGACAAGGGGAGGCAGCAGTTCCTGCGCTGCTCCTGAGGCTCCTTACTCTCTACACTATCCCAGTAGCATTATCCAAGTTAGCCTACCTAGATTTTTGCTGGTTGGAATTCTTTCTGATTTACTGTTGGCTATTTTTGGTCTTTTTTTTTTTCTCCTTGATCCCCTAAGCACTTAAAGTCCATGCCAGTGTTGTTTCCAAAACCCAAAAGGCAAAACTGACCCTAGAAAGTGCTCTCGCTCCCAGGAGAGTCTAACTCCACACTGCCCAAGAGGTTTAATTTGAGCTCATTTCAGTATCTAAAGATGTCCAGTCTAAGAGTTTTGATAGAGCAAGAATAGGTTATGGGCAGTGGTAGTGTCTAAAGTCATAGGGGATGAGAGGAGTGGGATTAGAAAACTTTATGAAGAGGGCGCCTGAGTGGCTCAGTTGGTTAAGCGACTGCCTTCGGCTCAGGTCATGATCCTGGAGTCCCGGGATCAAGTCCCACATTGGGCTCCCTGCTCAGCAGGGAGTCTGCTTCTCCCTCTGACGTTCTTCCCTCTCGTGCTCTCTATCTCTCATTCTCTCTCTCAAATAAATAAATCTTTAAAAAAAAAAAAAGAAAACTTTATGAAGAAAATAAATATGTTTCTAAGGGACTCTGTAAAAATTTCAAATGCTCCACTCTTTGTAATGTAGTTCACTGGGAGGCCAGATTAGATTCTAAGCCCCAAGGTGAATGAATCCCTGAGTGGACATTAACACCAGGGTCTCTCTGCAGGGAAGAGAAGCCCAGAATCACTTACAATTTTTTAGGCTCATCGATTTAAATCTAAATGCCAAAACCAGGTTACAAAAGCTGGTGTATTATAAATATTCACATTTAATTTGTTAAACTTCTCTTAACACAGTCACAAAATACAGTGGTTATATGTATAATATAATTTGAGGATAATGTTAGAAGTTTGAACTTAAGGTTGTTCAGTTAGCCAAATTGATGTTTTCCCACTGCCATCCTTGTGAACTTTCTGACTAATAAATATTTAAACTTTTCCAAAGGGTTGTGATAGAGAATGTTTCCACAGAATTGTACAATATTGAGAACAACAATAACAAAAAATTCTCAAAAGTTATCTCTTTGAAATAGAAAATTTTGGTGGAGAAGAATGAATGAAGAGTATAGAATTACAGAGAAGATAGAGAAAATATAAAGAAAAAGCATTAGCTACTTTAGAATTAGATCTCTCACATTTATCTTATCAAAGTAGAAAATTTTAGGGATATGGGAAGTTGTTAGAGATCAGAATAAAATCACAGTGTTTATTTAATAGCAACATTGTGTTGAAACAGTCATAAATTGCTACAAAATCTTACTTTAGGGAAGAGAGTTACAGGAAAAAAATGAAAAAATATTTTTAAAAATGTAAATAGTGGGGCTCATGGGTGGCTCAGTCGTTTGTCTGATTCTTGATTTTGACTCAGGTCATGATGTCAGGGTTGTGAGATTGAGCCCTGCCATCACAGAAGGGTGTGGAGCCTGCTTAAGATTCTCTCTCTCGCTCTCTAAAAAAAAAAAAAAAAAAAAGTAAGTAGAAATTAATGGTATATTATTCCCCTAATTTTAAAATCAAAGCCTAAAATTTTTTTTTCTCCTTAGAATATTTCATTTTAAGTATGGAACTATCATGTAGAACTTAAATGTGGGAAATAATTAGACAGGGAAGACTTCAACAACTGGTTGAGTCATTCTTTCTTGCATCTGTGACTTGATTCCTGGAAGGAACATTGGAACAGATGTCAAACTACAATCAGGGTGAACAATTAAAACCAAGTAGTCTTAGAGCGTACTTGACTAGGAATTTAAGAGTTATGGATCCTTTCTTTTCCTTTGGGCATTTTTTTTTCTAAGAGTGCCCATGAAGAAAGAAACTGAAATGAACCAGAATCAAGCTTTAAAATCCAGTGGTCCTGAGTTTTAGTTTACCATAAATCTTTACATTCCATGCTTATAGGTTAACTTTTAATAGACCTATTCTCATGTATACTTTATAACAGAGTCTGAACATGGGATAATCCAGTCACAGTAAGGGAAGTAACTATATATCCAACAGACTCTGACCATGAAAAAGATAACAGTTCTTCCCCTTTCTCTATTTAGGAGAAAAATACTTAAACTTTCATTACTTAATCTTTTCTTTGTGTGTTCCTAGTTTATTAGGCATTACTTTATCTTATTGTGGTTGGGAGCATTGGAAATGGAAAAATTTAAGATGACATTTGGTTTATTAAAACCTCACAAAACTAGCAGATGGCTTAGGAAAGCAGCATTAAAGATGCTACTTGATCCTTAATTCAAGACCATACTTGATGCTGCATCTGGAAGAAGAGCTATGCCAAGAAAAATGCTGTTGAGGTAAAGACTATGTTATTCATCAATATTTAGGAAAATAAGAAACAAGTGTTCATGAGCATAGCTTGTGAAACCAAATAGATTGCCATGGGAGAAGCGTTCGGCAAACATTTCCAAATATATAGTATTTATCCTTATAACATTTTAATAAACCTATGAAGAATAGAATTTTGTAATGAATCCAGGCTAAACTTTATAGCTGTAGTCCTTTATCTTATTCATTCTCTGTACAAATGGAAGTTGTCACTAGGATGAATAGTCACTGTGTATTTAAACTCCCTCACACCAAATAGAGAATTCTCCAAGTTTTAATCTTTAAATATTTTCGCAACACTTCCAATATTAAAAAGCTGAGTGTAATTAATTGGTACCATATATAACTGTTGATAGCTGGCATCTGGTTACTTTTCCTATTATTAAGTTTACTGTTTTGCTGTGACTATTGGCATTGGTGAATTTGTTATGCTTCCTGCTTAATACATGCTAAATGTTTTGTTTCTTTTAGGCAAGGAAAGGGAAGCTTCAGAACTGTTAAATACAGGTGACAGTGTTTCCTAATTAGTTTTATGGGAGTAGAACTAAATTACTTAAAAATTTATGAGCTCTTTTGACCTCTATTCTTTTATTAAGAAATGCAAACTTTATAGAATAAGGGCTTTTTGTAAACGAACACTTTTGTGTTCTATTCCATGTAGTTAGCCTATTTTTGCTGATCTATAAACCTGTGTCTAGATGGCAAGTTAGACTTTGGGAGACCCTGGAGGATGCTGAAGTGGTCAGGAATAGGAAATTATCCGCTACTGATACAGGTACCTATTTGACAAAAGACCTCTGTGGGCTTCCTAAGACCCAAGAAACTCAACAGCTGGAAAGAAATGCCTTTTCTACTTGAGCAACGATGCTCTTTGTGAGCCCTCTAGCTCCTGACTTGTACCATGTCAGACTCTTGTGCAAGTTAATAGAAAATGTAAGAATCTAATTTAAGCCATCCTCAGATATATGAATTGAATGGCTAATAATTTTATTTTAAACATCAAACATTTCCTTAAAGGACTTCTGGGAAGAAACCTTGGATAATGGATCTCCGTAGACCCAAGTGGTTTTTAGGTTCCATAATACTGTTATCTTTTGTTCAACATTGCAAAATTTAGATCTAAGTCTTGGGTAAGAAATTAAATATAAACTAAATCAAATATATTCTTAATAGTTTAAGAGAACAGAATCTGAAGAGAATCAATGACATGTTTAATAGAAACCTGGCCATTTACTGTTTGCCTTTGTAGAAGATCAAATATCTAATGCCAGATTTTAACAGCAGCGTGATATTTTGGAAAGACCATCTAATGTGGTGCCAGGAGACCATTTACTATAGCCCCAAATTCAAGCTCCAAGAGTACAGGCTGTGTGAACTTGGCCAAGTCATGGAACCTCTTTGAATCTCAATTTCACCACAGGTAATAAGGGTAAATATGAGAATAATACTACCTTCTAGGGTTAGAATATTATGAGATGTATATGAGATCATTAAAATGATTTATGCATAGTAAAGCCTGGGTTTGAATTCTGACTTTAGCACTTTCTGGCATTGCAGTTTTGGATAAATTACTTAACCCAATAAAGCCATGTATTGGGGCGGACCTGGAGCGCTCGCGCCCGAGGCCCTCCGTCCCCGCAGCTGGCCGTGGCGGCGCGGGGAGGTACCTGCCGGGCCTCGCCCCAGGCATCGCCTGGGCCGCCAGCGCCCTCCACCTGTGCCGCGGGCGAATGGCCGCGCTCACTTCGTCCAGGAGAAAGCTGAGCCTCTCTGCTAGAGCCTGCAGCTGGAGCGCAGGAGAGATCTGGAGCACAAAAGGAGAGATTTCACCTCTTGCGGAAACAAGAAGCTCTACTTTGACACCCATGCCTTAGTGTGTTTACTGGAAGAAAATGGGTTCTCCACCCAGCAAGCAGAAATCACTGTCTCTGCATTGGTCAAGATCACGGACGCCAACATGGATATTATCTACAAGGATATGGTCACCAAGATGCAGCAGGAGATCACCGTACAGCAAATAGTCTCAGATTGCCAACGTGAAAAAAGATATGATTATTTTGGAGAAGAGCGAATTTTCAGCCCTCGGAGCAGAAAATGAGAAGATAAACGTGGAACTACATCGGTTAAAACAACAAATAATGGATGAAGTGGTCAAAGTCCGAACAGATACCAAGTTAGACTTCAATCTAGGAAAGAGCAGAGTGAAGGAATTGTACTCATTGAATGAAAGGAAGCTGCTGGAAATGAGGACAGAAATGGTGGCATTGCATGCCCAGCAAGATCATGCTGTCACCCAGACGGACAGGAAGATAGACACTGAGGTCGCTGGCCTCAAAACCATGCTGGAGTCACACAAGCTCGTAACATTAAATATTTAGCAGGATCTGTATTTACATGCCCAACAGTAGCTCTGGGATTTTATCGCCTGTGGATATAATAAAGTGTCTATTTAAAGAGAAAAAAAAAAAAAGCCATGTATTGGGTTAAGTCATCTGGAGATTTAAAATAATGTAATAAAATTATATTTTCTTTAAAGTTATTTAAGCCTATTCTAATAGGTCCTTACTTTTACTTGAAGATTTGTAATTGCCCACACTTTCTTGTAAACCGGAAAAACTTTTAGCTAAGTATTTATGTAGAATGAGAAGCTTTCTTCCTAAAGGGATATGTCCCCTCTGTATGTAATTTTTTAGCTTTCTGATACAAGGGACTTGACGAGGAATGGAGGTCCAGGATTCTTTCATTGTTTATAGTGTGCCATAATTAATTACAGTTTAAATCATTTTGTGGGTGTATTTGGCATAAAATAAGGGAAGCTTGTTTGACTCTATAGATAGAGGGTCAGTGTTTAAAATAAATTTTGCGATTAGAAAACATTTGAAGCCACTGTGAGTTGCTGGTGCCCTCAGTAGAGAATGTATTTGAGACACCAACGATTGCCTACCTCTTAAAATCCATTTAGAGAGTCAACCTCAAACCTTTCCTTAGGTAATGGGATTAGCACTCTGTTGGGACTGCAATCCTTAAAGATACAAATTTGCTTCTAAACGTTCTAGCTAGTAATCCTATGTTCTTTAACAGGTCTTGCAATGCAACTGACACTCTTGGAATGGAAAATGCAGAGCCTAGACCTCTTTCTGTCTATTGGATTAGGAAGTTCAGAGGCTTTAACAGAAAGTACTCTGTTCTGAGAAAGTTAACATTAGTTGTTCCTCATCTTTGTTCTTCAATGATAGTATGGTTGAAGGAATATGATGAATAAACTGAATTTAGGACACAGTGACACATAGATGCTTTTATAAGCCATTCAACCATACATGAAAAAGTTTCCTTTTAATGTCCTTAATTTTTACTACTTCAAAAGAAAAGTATATTAAGAAATATTTTCAGTTTAAGCATATCGCTTGGTACTTAAAAACTTTCTGAGCCAGTTACTTTTAGTGTAAAAGGAATAAAGGTCAGGAAGTGTTTGATCCTTCTCTTTCCTATCCTCTTTCAACAAAGTCATCTGTTACTTCCCCGGAAGGACAATACGGGTATATTGAGACATTATGATCCTTGGAAAATAAAACAAGATAAAATCTTAGTAGACTTGTTTTATAACACATTCCTGATCATATTCTAATGTTTTTATTCTCCTTTATTGTTAATTATATCCTAACATGAATAATGACTGAACATTGTAGACAAATATTATTACTTTTAGAAAATGCCTATAAATTGAAATATCCCAAGTCTGTTTTGTGAAGCAAACTTTCTTTAATAGATAGGATTCCAATGGACTATAAAATACAAACTACAGTATCTTTTGAAGGTCACTGTGAGTTTAATATAAACACTACCCTTGTACTACATTGAATAATTTAAATATTAGAAAGCAAGTATTATTGTAAAGCAAAACTTTACTTGATATTTGTTGTAATTTTTTTCCTTTGAAGTTATGCTCAGCTTTTTCTAAATTGTTCTATTCATTTCCCTCTCATCTTCGATGTACTGCATTGACTATACCTTCACCTTGTCTTGATGGCGTCTGATCATAAGCTTGACTATCTCTTGTGTCTGTGCTGTGGAAACTCTGGGATACACCCTATGGAATACTGACTTGGACATCAGAGTCCTGATTTACTTCTGAGCCTCAGTTTTCTCATCTGTGAGATGGGGCTGGTAATATACATCCAGGGCAGTGGTGAGGGTTACATGAGATTGAATTGTATCTAACAGTGTGTGACATATAGAAGGTGTTTTGTAGTTCACTAAGTTCGGTTTCCTAGGTCATTGCAGGCAGAAGTGGAAATGCAGATGGTTGGGTTTCCGTTTGGGTTTGGACAGCTCTATGAATACATGCTGACTGCAGCTGTGGCCTTGATATTTATCATTGGTTATTTCTTTGTTTGCTTTTTTATTAAAAAAAGAAGAAGAAGAAAAATGAAGCTGTGTAATCTCCAAGGTAGTGTAATATGGCTCTTAGCTGAAAATATATATGACTTAATCAACTACACTTGCAGATGAGAAGTTCCTACCTCATTGGGTTATTTTCAAGACTCAAAGATATATAACAATTCAAAGAGCTTAGTGCATGCTAAGTACTCAGTAGTAATTAGCTATTACTAATAAAGATGTGACTCTTATGATAGAGGCTGGATACTCTGAATTTTGGCTGAAAGTCATATATATAAAAAACATTTTCTGGGTACTCCAATGTAAGCTACTCTTTATTTATTTCATTTTTTAAGGCTAAGCTTTTAGTGATTATAATTAACAATTATAGTTGCTAAATTTTGAGAATATGTTTGAGAATATATTCATTTAAACAAACAATCCCTTTTGGATTTTTTACATGTAGTCTTTAAATAAAAGAGCCAAAAATTAGCAGATAGGAGCTTTTTGTTTTTAGAAATAATTCTGAATATATCTTATATTTTATCCAAATGTATACGGATTGTCCATGTGTCTATTGCCTTTAGAAATCTCAGAATCTAGAAAGAATTCTCTTAGTCCCTCTTTCTGGGCCCTGGCCTTATATCATCTCAGTAGTGCACTGGTCTAATAACATATATAGGGTTCTTTCAATCTGCTGGTAAATATTTGCCTGTAACCCAGGCTTATGTCCAGCTGGCATGCACTCATCTTCCACTAATTAAAAATACTGTACATAGCAAATTAAGCATTTTTGCTTTGAAAAAAATGGAGGGCCTACAGGAGTCTCACAGTTTTATAGGAATAATGCTCATCAGTTTGTAGACTTCTTTTTTTTTTTTAAGATTTTATTTATTTATTTGACAGAGAGAGAGACAGGTAGAGAGGGAACACAAGCAGGGGGGAGTGGCAAAGGGAGAAGCAGGCTTCCCGGCTGAGCAGGGAGCCCGATGTGGGGCTCGATCCCAGGACCCTGGGATCACGACCTGAGCTGAAGGCAAATGCTTAACGACTGAGTCACCCAGGCGCCCCAGTTGGTAGACTTCTGACTCTGCTCTTTTTGGTAATCTGAGTGTCAGGGTCACAGGTAACTCAGAAGCCAACTCTCTCAATTTATAGTTCAGAATATGAAGTTCAGCCTAGGGATGGATAAGTTTCAACTTCCGTGTCAGCTCTGGTCAGTTGGGATTTTGGCTGCTTGGAGGCCAAAGATTTGACATTCTTCATTTAGATCAAGGTCACACAGATTGTTCGTGGCAGAGCTTGGACTAGAATCTAGTTCTTTTGGTTTTTAATCTCATTTTCATTTCTCCTGGTCATTTTGTTATAAAACTCATGGAAACCTTTATATTGAATACATTTTTATAACCTTGTAATCCATTATGTAGGCATAAAAAGTTAAGATTCTGACATTTTTATTATGTGGAAGTGAACATTATCTTGTTAAAAATACCATGCTTATTATTCAATTTTGAAAATGCAGACAAGATGTGTGAAAGAGAAATGTAGCTTCATATGCATATCTTTTAAGTGTGACCCTTTGTTACTACACTCGGTTTTACAAAAAGTATGCCATCAGCTTTTTTAAGGATACATTTCAACATGGATTAAATCTTTAGGGAATTAGCTTGAATTATTTTTAGGTAATTGCCAAAACATGCATATATCTGTATGTGTGTAGAAATATATTGTTAATAGCTAAAAGTAATTGTGATGATATGAATAATATGACTATATTTCATACAGTTTTTAAGTCTGGTGGGTGTAGTTTGTGTTTTTCTCTGGGTAACATTGTTAGCACACAGTAAATATCTAACAATATGGTAACTCTTTCCCCATTTGGTATTTACTTTAACCAGAAAAAATTTACTACTATGTTAATATGATATAATTCTTAAATTATGTCATGATGCTAAGTGAAATTCAGGCATTTTGTTATAACACTGTCATTTTTTATAGGAACTAATGTGTCTCTTCCTCTCTCTCTTCTTCTTATACACACTACAGACCTTCTTCCAGTCATTTACCTTTCCTGTGACATGCTCTATGTTTTCATCTTACTGCCTTTGTCACCAGTGGTTCTACATTCCCTTGAATCCCAGGCTTTAAAGACGGTCTCAGGACTGTCCACTAGTTCTTTATAACCTGGAAAATTTATAGATGTCCAAATTTAACCATGATTATAACTTTGCGAACTTTTCTCTGTCTTGATAATTGAGCCCTCCTTTATCTGTCAGTGTACTGATTATTTGGGGATAGACAGTAATTCCTCTTAACAAGAAGACTAACAGGGGTGCCTGGGTGGCTCAGTTGGTTAAGCAACTGCCTTCGGCTCAGGTCATGATCCTGGAGTCCCAGGATCGAATCCCGTATCGGGCTCCCTGCTCAGCAGGGAGTCTGCTTCTCCCTCTGACCTTCTTCCCTCTCATGCTCTCTCTCTCTCTCAGCAAATAAAAATCTTTAAAAAAAAAAACAAAAAAAACCCAAGAAGACTGACATATTATTGGAGCTAGTATGGTTTTAAGGCAGTCCTGACATTGACCCATGCCCATAGCTAGGGCAAGGCCAAGCTAGTCTAGTACAGTTTCAGGGGCTTGCACGTCCACTTCCTCCCAAATTTTATCCTTCTTTTCTCTTATTCTACATACTGCTCTTTATCCTGTAATTAGATATACAGCTTCTTTGCAAGAGGTTAGAGGGATAAGTCGTGGGGAACTCATTCACATGAAAATATATGAACCACACAGCTGCGTACGTAATCAACTCTAGACCAACGGGAGGCAGAGCTCAGTAATGAGAAGCACAAGCTTTTGAGTCAGACAGCCCTGGGATTAAGTCTTTTCTTTCTTCTGAGACATTCTGTCACTTTGAACAGGTTAAAGTTCATCACTTCGCTCAAACCGCTGTTTCCTCACAGTGTAAAATAAGGATGATAATGTTTCATTGACTGTATTATTAGAAAATGAATATATGAGAAGCTGAGGCTCTTACAGGCAAATTTTGCGGGGATCATATCTTTGCCAGGAGTCCTTCCTGTTGACT